CGATCCGCAAGAAGGCTATGAGTAGATGCTAGATATTTTATAATTTTCTTTATTTTTTTCATTTCTCGTATTTCTTTTAGAGAATTTGTTCTGTGATGTTTGTTAGTTCTTTTGAGTTATCGTGTAAGAAATTTTAATATCAACATTTTATTTCGCTTCCGCACTCAAATTATGATATCTATTTCTTTTTGAATTTTCGGGGCTGTTATAACTTCAAAGTTTATTTAAAATTAATTCTTTCTATAAGCACACTTTTTTACCGTGCATTTAGAATTTTATTCTCATATATTTATTTTTAAAAAATCATAAATTATAAATTATAAATTTTATACATGTTATCTGTTCCAATTTTTTATTTTTTATTTTTAAGTTTAGAAATTAAATTGTTTAAAAAATTAATTAAAAAATTTAAATACAATTCAAAATAAAATAAGATTAAGAAAAATAAATTATATAGGCCCAATCACATGGTAACCCACGAGACAATCAATCGGATCCAATTTGGGTATAAATATATATATATATATATATATATAGTTAATTATAATTAGAATGATATAACACAAAAAAGAAGTAGTTCAATTAAATTAATTTAAACTTTCAAATGTTAACCAGTCAATAAGATAAAATAATTATAGATAACAAATGTTCTTATAATGGTAAATAATTTAAAATAAAAATTTGTTGTTTATAATTAATTTTTAATAAAATGAAGAGGTACATCCAACAATACAATTTCACTAAATTGTGAAATGAAGGCCTTGAAAAAAAGATAATTATTTTTGGCACATTAAATTAATTATTTTCTTGCTAAATGCGTCTGAAGAGTACAATAATTAATTTCACTTGAAGCGATTAATAGAAACTCTTCCTTTATTCTTCATATCTATATCAAAGCTGACTTCCCCTGCAGCATAATTTTAAGCCAACAAAAAAAAAAAAAGTCAGAAAAATATCTGCAATGTGTGTGTGTGTGTGTGTGTATTACGTGTGTAAATGCATGCTCATGCATATACCAATCAAATTGATTAAAATAATTAATTAACTTTAAAACAATAAGTTGTTTTAAACTTATAGAAAAACAAATATTATATATATATATATATACCACCTGTACGAGTCAAAGTGATCATGATTCTATGTATCTATTAACTATATACACACACACACACACATATATATATACCTTTATTAATTAGCAGGACATCTGAATGAAGATGGAGGATGCTTGCCACAATCATTAACGAGGAGATCAAGAGCAATAGGCAATACGAGGTTAATATTGAGGAGCTTAGCCTTAATGGTGGTGCAAAGGCAAAGTGCAGCATCTAAATCTGCTAAGGGATGAAGCACCGGGCAACAAGCGTGTTTTGCTTCAGGGCCGATGCCGATGTGCACCAACCCGCCTAATAGGTCCACGCAAGCTGCCAATTTAAGCGTGTTAATTGGACAAGTATGTCTGGCTGGTGGTGTATGCGGTGGTGGTGGTGGGAGTGCTTGTGGTGGAGGTGGTGATGGTATTCTTTTTTGTGGTGGTGGTGGGAGTGCTTGTGGTGGAGGTGGTGATGGTGTTTGTTTCGGTGGTGGTGGTGGGAGTGCTCGTGGTGGAGGCGGTGATGGTGTTTGTGTTGGTGGTGGTGGTGGTGGGGGGACTACATGTGGAGGAGGAGGTGATGGTGTTTGTTTCGGTGGTGGTGGTGGGTGTGATCGTGGTGGCGGTGGTGATGGTGTTTGTTTTGGTGGTGGTGGTGGAGGACAGGGGACCTCAGTTGGCGGGGGAGGAGGTTTCGGAATAGAGCAATGAGGACATGCAAGTGAAGTGGCTAAATAGAGGAGTAGAAGAGTAGTTAAGATGGCAAACCTCTCCATTTCAAACTATTCACTTCACTTCCTTATTTTTTTTGCTTTTAAGGCTTTGAAGTACAAGAATGAGTGAGTTTTAGAAGCCTTTTTATAGGCAAAGGCATGTAGAGATTTTCCCATGAGCAATAATTTATTCAAATTAAACTATAGACTATATTGCAATTTTGACCTAATTTTTTTCTCATTTCAATTTTGCAATTGCACTATGAAATTATAAGTACCAACTGTAGCCACAAAACAAAACAAAAACAAAAAATCACTAGTAATTTATGGAATAAAATTGTAATCTTTTATTTTTACACGAAAATCACATAAGAATGTATAAATTTTGGGTGTAATTGTTTTTCAAAAAATAATAATCTAATATTTACATTAACAAATTATTATTTTTTAAAAAAATTAAGGGACCTAATTGTGATTCTTTATTTGCAATTTGATTGTATAATTTTTGTGATTGTTAATTTCGTTGACCAGATCCATATAAACTAATTATAACTAGAGATCACAGGAAGAAATTTTGATTCAGGCTGGCTGGCGGTGGTGATAGTCTGTCTTTATATATATAATTAGTATGGTTTTGGAGGCTTAACTTGTTTTCAAATCAATTCCAACCATGTTTTAAGCCAAGAAAATTGAAGAACACGACATGAATCAGTATGGGTATATTTTGGCATTTAGTGCCCATTTGCGGCCATGGTTGAAAAAACTGCTACATATATATATATATACATGTAATTAAAAGTCTCCTTATAACAAGTAATATATTTTAATCATGTAATATGTAAAAATTATTAATAATTTATATATTTTTTATATACAATTAATTAAATAAACTTTATTAGTTCATGTCTTGAATTTCATAAATATGAATTCATTTTCTTATTTATCAATAAAAAAATAAATATTAAATTGGACTAAAGATGTATTATTTAATTAATTTTCTAGATAGCCAGCATTCATATATATATATGAATTAGAATTTGAATCATACCAATTTTATTAGTCACGTCGAATATAAACACATGAACGGGATTTTCAAATGGAACCAGTGGA